GACTAACAGCAGTTTGTACAAAACTTGGTTGGACAGTTTGTGTGTATGTATCGGAGGAATTTGTTAATCACAAAGATAAAGATGCTTCCATTTTGTGTGCAAGTTTAGTGGGTCACGACTTTAAAATCTCCGATCTTTGGAGTTTAGAAACGATCGGAATATTAGATGCTCACCAGAATTCAACTAACGCTGCTGAGGAAGAAATTGCCCACGAACAATTTTTAAACTCTCTTTCCAGAAACGAAGATGGTCGTTATTGTGTCGGATTACCTTGGTTAGTATATAACGCAGAATTGCCATCAAATCGTCATGTAGCAGAAAAAAGATTGTTCAGTGTCACCCGAAAACTCAAGTCTTTACATAAATATGAAGAATATGATAGAATTTTTAATGAATGGATGGAGGAGGGTGTAATTGAAATAGTACCAGACAATGAACTGAATTATAAAGGGCACTACTTACCGCATCACCCAGTATTTAAACCAGACAGTGTCTCAACTAAGATAAGACCTGTTTTTGACGCATCATGTAAAGTTAATAGATCGCCCTCCCTTAATGATTACTTAGTAAAAGGACCAAATTTAATAGAAGAAATCCCTTCAATTTTGTTAAGATTTAGAGAAAAATGCATTGGCGTAACCTCTGATATCCGGCGTGCATTTTTACAGATTGAATTACGGAAAGAAGATAGGGACTTTTTAAGATTTTTATGGTGGGAGAAAGATAATGTACTGAAGGTTTTCCGCCATACGAGGGTAGTTTTTGGAGTAAAGTCTAGCCCTTTTCTATTAGGAGCGGTTATTTCAGTTCATTTGGCACAAGTACCAAAGGAACAAAGTTCTATTGCTCAGAAATTAAATAAATCCTTTTATATTGATAATTGTGTGACTTCTGTTGATAACGAAAAGGAGCTTGTGAATTTTGTGAAATCTTCTACTGAAATATTAGCTGAAGCAAAAATGGACTTACGTATGTGGACCTATGGCCCAGTAGAAAAAGATGTGGAACTAACCCAAAGTACTTTGTGCACTGAGTCCACAATGGAGAATTCTGTACCAGTTTTAGGAATTATGTGGGACAGAATAGAAGATAACCTTTATATTGAAATTAAGACTGTATTGGTTTCGGATAATTTGTCTAAAAGAGAGGTTTTGTCAGTAGTAACGCAGACAATGTTTGATCCTTTGGGTTTCTTGACACCTGTTTTATTGCCTGCAAAGTTACTGCTACAGGAAATTTGGGCGATAAAAGCAGACTGGGATACTCCATTACCAGATAGTATCAAAAGTAAATTTTCGAGGTGGTATAATAAATTACAAATTTTGAATAAGTTGAGAATACCGCGACGTATAGGTTTTGGAGATAGAAGTTCCTGGACACTTCATGTATTTTGTGATGCTAGCCAGCATGCTTATGCCACGGTAATATTTTTGAGATGCGAAACTAAAGAAGAAACATTAGTCAGTTTTGTAATGGCTAAGTCAAGAGTCGCACCCTTAAAAGAACTTACTATTCCCCGTCTAGAACTTATGGCCTGTCTTTTGGGCGTGCGTCTTTCCAAATATGTGACAGAAGCTCTTACATTGGATGACATCCCGAAAATATTTTTGGACCGATTCCACCACGGCCATATCTTGGATTCAAAGAAATGATGCGTGGGGGACTTTTGTGGGCAATCGCGTGAAGGAAATTTGCGCTTTCACTAAAGCAAATCAGTGGTCATATGTACAGGGTCATTCTAACCCAGCTGATTTACCTTCTCGTGGTTGTTCCCCTCTTCAGTTTTTCGAATTAAATTGGTGGAGAGGGCCTGTTTGGCTCAAAGACCCTAGAGATAGCTGGCCAAAATTAGAGGTTAAGCCAAATGAAACTTTAGTTTTTTCAGAGCGCAGGAAAGGCATAAATTTAAATGTAAATCTTAGTATAACTACAAAAGCGGATAAAGTTAAGTGGTGTGAGAAGTTCTCTAAATTTTCAAAAATGTTAAGAGTTTTAGGTTGGATAAAGAGATTTATCAAAAATTGTCAAAAGAAAATTGTAAATAAAGAGCCTTTTCTGTCTGCTTCCGAGATAAAGGAATCTAAAATTATACTTCTTTCACTTGTTCAGGGGGAGAGTTTTCCAGAGACTGGAGACTCCATCAATGGTCTTTTGACCGTACGAGATCAGAGTGGCTTAAGAAGAGTAAAAACAAAAAAATCACCGAACGAGATGATTCTTATGCATTCCGGTACCCGATTTTATTACCTTCTAAGCATTATATTGTTGACTGTTTAATTAGAGATTACCATTTAAAGCATTCTCATGCCGGCGTACAAGCATTAACTGTTATAATTAGAGAAGAATTCTGGATCATTGGTGCAAGACGCCGAATTAGATCGGTGGTGTGGTGAAACAGTGCGTCCGTTGTAAACGATTTTCAGCAAAACCTCCAACTACTGCACCCATTCAATTACCATTAGACAGAGTTCGAGATGCTTTCGCATTTGAAGTTACCGGCATAGATTTATGTGGCCCTCTGATTCTCAAAAATAAAAACAAAGCCTGGGTAGTACTGTTTACGTGTGCTGTATATAGATGTGTACATTTGGAACTAGTGACATCCGTAAGTACCGAATGCTTCATTCAAGCGTTTCGTCGGTTCATAGCCAGAAGAGGTCGGCCATCTACAGTTTATTCAGACAACGGCACAAATTTCGTCGGTACATCTGCATTGCTGAAAAAGGTTGACTGGGTAAAGGTAATTGCTCAGGAAACTTTGCATCCCATCACTTGGAAGTTCATTCCGCCCACTGCTGCTTGGTGGGGCGGATGGTGGGAGCGTCTAATCCGCACAGCCAAGAATTTGATTGTGAGAGTCTTAGGACAAGCTGCAGTCAATTACGAAGAGTTACTCACCGTCATCTGTGATGTGGAAGCCGTAATAAACTGTCGACCACTAACTTATGTGTCAAATGACTCTGAGGATCTTCTACCATTAACGCCTTCCATGTTCTTACAGGACATTAAGGTTTCAGGTACAGCAGATTTGGATGCTTTAGATCGAAATAAACTCTTGGCTCGTCAGCGTTTCTGCCAGGAACTTCGAGAACAATTTCGTAGCCGTTTCCGCAAGGAGTACCTTGGACAGTTAGTACAAAAGCATGGACAGACGGACTGTGAATTAAAAGTTGGAGACATCGTGCTAATAGGTTGTGAGAACCTTAAAAGAGTGAACTGGCCAATTGCTCGTGTCCAAGAACTTTGTACAAGCAGAGATGGACGTGTAAGAGATGTAAAAGTGAAAACTAGAAATGGCATACTGATTCGTCCTGTACGTAAACTGTACCCTCTAGAAGTGTGTTCCTGTACTAAGGATACCATTATTTGATTTTCCTTCTGAAAATCAAAAAGGTGGGAGTGTTGTGAAACTGATTAGCTGTATCTAACAAATATTAAAAACAAATCTCTTCATTTTGATGTACGAGACACAGATGGCGTTGGCTGTCATTGAAGTAGGAAGAAAAAAAGGGTTTTTCCCTTTCGACCTCGTGACGTGAACTGATTAAGTGTGTAATAACTTTCGGGGCCAGAAAAATTTCCCGACAATTGTTAAAAAATGTATATATTTTGTAGTATAGAGAGAATATAATTAAATAAATCAACATATTAGAGTTTTTATTACAGATTCAACATCACACTACCCAGGTAAGTGAGCAAGTTTTGTCTTTAGTTTTTCTGGATTGCTCGGTATCTGGGATGAGTGAAGGAAGTATTTTTATTTTAATGATATTTAATGATAAGACTATGTTTTAGTAATAACAGACAGAAAAATATATGTCTATCAACACTTTCGTTTGCTTTCGGTATGCAAAAATTTTCGAAAGCTTCAATTACTTTGTCAACATTCTTCTTATCTTCTTAAATTAAAAGTATTAAACTTTTCAAGTGCTTTTTCACCAATAATATGCAATAAAATAGCTACTTTAATTTCAGGTGATTTAGTAATACCACCAGACGCTAACATATAAATTTGGAATTTTTGTTTCCATTTCTTCCAATTTTCGCTTAAATTACCTTTGAAATTTAGATTACTTGGTGGTTTTAATCCATCCATATTTAATTTAAAACTACCAAATAGTTTATATATACGTATTTTTAGCCACTTCAAATAAAAATAAACAATGCACTTACCAGCATAGAAGTTTCGATTTCACTGTAAAGAACTTCCCATCATGTTTTTGTTTAGAATATCTTTAGGGACGCTGCATGGTTCTTCAAAAAATATTTTCTTTTTTAATCTACTGTGCCATGTGTTGTTTTTTTATATGTAATGTTGGATTATTACCAAGATGTACACAAACATCGTTTATTCTACACTGCTCATCCACTATTCTATATTACAATTATGATTAAGGCAGTAAAAGATACAGTTACATATATGACACTGTCAAGATTTATACTTGTTATAAAAATCTAGAATATTTATAGACACAGCAGTTTCATTTGCAAACTTAATATTCCTCATAAATGGATATTATTTCATGGAGTAAAAATTCTGTTTAAGGAAACTTAAAAACTTGAATTATCACTTTATCAACAGATTGGACTCAGGTTGAACGAGCTGTATTCAGTGAGCTTAACCATTTGGTCACTGATGGGATCTCAGGAGATTAATACGTGTGATGCTATATTTACTGGAAAAAACTAAAATATTAAATAAAAATAGTGTTAACACTTATTTATAATTGAAAAAATATAAATAGTCTACTATATAGTTGCATTTCATTTATATATTTACTATGCCCACCAGGGACAGAGCTGGGCGTTTTGTGAACCACTGTATGCTTTGCAGTCCAAATTTTTGCTGCATGATGTCTCTGTAACTTGTAAAAATTTTGTAACCTCTAAATTCAGCTGCCCAGTGCTTCAAGAACTAAGCTCTGGGCAAATAAATTGTGTTTCAGTGTTTAATATTTGGTATTAATTTTTTGTCTGTTAATGTATTTAATTTTTTGTAGTGTCTATGACATAGCTGTCAAGCCTGATGGATCTATGGTTATTATTGCATCAGGGCCGAAGTTATTAGCTTATGATACGGAAGGGAAGCTGTTGCAGTCTCTGAAAGGCCATTCTGACTTAGTTTACTGCATATGTTTCTCTAAAGATGGTCAAAGATTTGCATCAGGTGGTGCTGATAAGCAAGTTATCATTTGGACTTCAAAACTGGAAGGAATTTTACGATATTCGTAATACATCAAATTTCTTGTCTCTAATTTTTTTTTAATATTTTTGTATTCCATTAATGTAATTTATCAAATTGCCAAAAATGCAACAATCAAAATTATGTCAGTTTCAGCTTTTAAAGGTTAACTGTATGGCTTAAGTCCTGTTTTACTTGAGTTATTCTTAACTAACTTGTTTTCTGTTTATTCAAATGAAGAAAGTTTTTAAATTCTGATGCTGTACCATACTGTTCTTGGCTTTTGTAATACACTAAAACATCCAGAATCTAAATGTCCAATATCCAAAATGATCTAATATACTAATTGTGATGTCACTGATTATTAGATCAATAATACTAATTCACCTAATATTCTAAATAAATGTCTGATATCCAGAATGACCTAATACCTTTGGGACACTAGCACAGTATTTTAAAGAATTTTTTCCTTACAAAATATAGACATAGAGGGTATACTGTTCAACAGAGAGCAGGTATGCCAAAATGTAATTTTTCTTTGGACTGACTGAGGTTCCTGAATGTTTTCCTCAAGCACATACTGGCTATACAAGCACATCAGGACTAGTGACAATGCATTGATTGACATTGGCCACAATCACAGTTTTGGCACTTCAGTAGTTGTGGAGGGTTAGCCTTTTTCAGTCTGATTCTAAACAATAAGTGAAGCCTCAATACATATTTGTTTGGAAGGGGATATTGTTAATATTGATTTTCTTTTGATGCCACAACAGCAGTGATGGAGGAAAGATGAGAAAAACTTAAGTTAATACAGCAAATTGCACTCTTTCTTAACTTTCTGATTTAATCCAGCTTATTATTTTTGCAAGTGATTTGCAAGTCATTTTATTATTTCTCCAAATTGTACAGCCTTCATTCAGCCAATAATATTGGAGATTGTGTGTGCTGAAATGCAGATATGAAATAGCATTTTTAGAAATCTCTGCTAAATTTTCTGACCATTAAAACATTTAAAAACTATTAAAATCTGCTGTGAGGAGCATTGCAAAGTCATGAAAGGATGGATCTGCAGATATTAAAATAATGCTTGGCATTATTTATGACTAACTACCACATTTAATGGTGATGGGGATGATGGTGATTTCAATAGCTGCAAGTTTGAAGTTTTTTGGATGTAACAAGCAAAAGTCAAAATTTTTCCTTTAACCTTTTAACTGTCATGCCCGAGATAATCTCGGGTACAGCACTGGTGTTCGAAAATGTCACGCCCGAGTATTACTCGGGGTAATTTTTTTTTTGAGTGCATCGTATTGTTATACCCGAATATATATCGGAAGACGTTTATTTCGGCTTCATCTTTTTGTCAAACTTGACTGTATCTCGGGAAAAATTTGACAATTTTGTGTACCCAAATCATCAAAATAACTTGACAGTTAAAGGGTTAATGGATTTAAATTAAAAAAATACCACTACTAATTGCAAAGAAAGTGATAAAGAAATTATGAGAATTGAGAGATTCTGATTGGCAATTTAGTGGGAATTCTTGACAGAGCAATTACAGAACTTGAACAGTAGAATTTTGTAACGGAACATGAGATTATGTCTGTCTATAAAATTAAGGAGAAAATATAATCATGAAAAAATGAAAGAACTTAATACATACATTGCTTTCAAACAAATATTTTTTTGAAAGAAATATATAATAAAATGACCTTTGTTTTAACATTTGATTACCTAAGTAAATGCTTCATTATTTCATAAACAATTATTTCTTATCTTAAATTTTATAATTTCTATATTTCATCTTACTAGATTTGAATTTGATGATCTAAAATCTGGAAAATTTCAGAATCATCGAATTTCCAAGGATTCTGAATCTCGCATTTTATTCTGTAAATTTCAATAAACTAAGTGCATTTTGATGTTTAATTATATAATTAGTAAATATTAAGAACTCTTAAATGCTCTTTTATTATTTTTATAGGCATCATGACGCTGTGCAGTGCCTTTCGTACAATCCAGTGTCAGATCAACTTGCCAGCTGTGCTTGCACAGATTTTGGTACACTTTTTTTTTTTTTTTAACCTTTGTGTAAAACTTTGTTGTTAAATTTTTGTAAAATTTGATTTTGCGATTTGAAAATAACTAAAACTCTGAATACAGAATGGAAAACAAAGTATGATATAAATATTTCTCTTTGGTATGTTTATGTATACATTTATTTTTGTTGTTGAGCTTTTAGATTTGCTTAAAACTCATTTTTATACTACTTTTATTTTCTAATTGTATATTATTATACTGGTCAAAATAAGTATTGAGGGCAAACTATTTTAGGCTATGTGCTACTTTTTACACTTTCATGTTGATTGTTTTATTTCATGATATGTAAATATTTGCTTAAACACACCAGCAGTTGTATGAAATAATTATATATAATTAATACATATTTTATAACGTATTTTGCTGCTATAAAAATCAGTATTGATGGCTTTCTGTTTCTTCAGAGGATGGGGGCTTTATATTACATAACACTACCAAGACAGATATTGACATTCCAAGAGATATTTATATTTGATGGTTCTTTATTTCGGTTTCCTTGCAGTTGGGCAAAGTAAAACTAGCTCTTTGAGTACAGCCCATTTAATGTAATGTCTCTAAAATAGTTTTGCATTTTAAAAGCAATAAACATACTACTAAAAATTTTTATCTGTTTTTTGACAATAACATTATGTTTAATTACACTGGTGCGCAAAACTTAAGCAACAGGTGTTCTTTTTGCCCTTTATGAGAAATCATCTGAGAAACATGAAATTCAAAAATGAGAGACAGCATTTTGTATTTAAACAATGACGAAAGCATAGTAGCTCAAAAATGAATACGATGCCCATGCAGTATAGAATTAAACAAGAAAAGGATTTATTGAACTCACAATATTGTTAAACATGATTGTCTGCAGAAGAAGAAGAACAACAAGCAGATGTTCTTTAGTATAGGGTGTGCCCTCCTCTTACTGCAATGATTACTTCGAACCGTCTCTCCATACTTAGCACCATATTGTCCAACAGATCTTGAGGTAAGAGTGCCATTCCACAATCAGTATCTGTTTCAGTTGTTGGATGTTCCCAGAGGATGTAATCATGTCGCAAGGCGTCTCCCCAAAGTATCGCACACATGTTTTATGGGATTTAAATCAGGGAAGTACACTGGCCAATCCATTTGGGTGATATCTTCACCTTCGCTGTATAGCAAACTTAGTTGCTATGACGTTGCAGTGACATCTGTGTTGCATTTTCTTCACATTACATTTTTGACTGTGGTACAACGTTGCAGAAACGTCACATTGTAATGTGGATGAGAATTTCTCATGGATGTTATATACACGTCACAGCAAATGTTTAATGTGACCACAAGAAATTCTCAGTCTTCCCCACCCTGACCTTTCTTGTCCTTGCTCACGAAATTCTTCTTTAATGGGAAGTATTGTTGCCGGCTGATCTTGTTCCCCCCCCCCGATTCATTGCTATGTGTTTCAGTAAACCTTTTTAAACAAATTATTCTTTTATGCTAATCATTTGCAATTTTAGTTATTTCTTTTTTATTAAAAATATTAACAGTTTATAGCGTTTTTTTAATGATGTGATACTTCGAAATCATTGAACTATATTCTACAATGAATTCATATACCTTATCTAGTGTTATCAAGGGAAGCTGACGAAAGAGTTTGTTGTCCGCATTGCGTTTGCTTGTTTTAAGGATTTTCGCGACCATTTTTTAGTTTTGTTCGCAGAACACATCATCAGTGCTACATTTTCAGGTAAGCACTGTTTATTGTATATTGATGTGAATGATATCAGTGATAATTAATATATAACAATAAAAGCATAATTTAAATGCTATGAACAAAAAGAAATAATGAACTGGCAGTTGATTAACTTTTATTAGTATTGCAAAGAGTGCGAAAGAAGGGACATTATCAAAAATTCTCTTTCGTTTTTGTCTCACTGCTTAGAAATTCTAGTTTAGAGAGTCAGTTTTATTTGGTAGGTATAATTCAATTTTTGTTGTTTAAAAACAATAAAAAATTTTAAAAGGTAATGTGAAAATGAATTTATTTTCTGCATTTTTCTGCACTACTTTCATCATGTTCTGCTATTTTTGAAATTATTCACAAAATAATTACTTACTTCCACGCATGGTACTTAATGCCACATTACAAATGATGCCATATGTCCATAATCACATTCTAGTTACATAGAATACGGTTTTTAATTATTATAACTTTACAAATGGCATATTGCTTTAAAATACTGAACTTTTCTACATGTTTACTATATGTAAATTTCTGAGATTATTTTTAAAATTTATTATATTACATCTTTTCTTTTCGCAAATTATATCACACTTTTACGTATAATGTATTTGTGTTGTTCAAGTAACCCCCACCAATTTTGTTCAAGTAACCCAAGGATTACCTCCCAACAATAGCGATCTACGGTTACAGAACTTCTGCCAAAAATGTGAAGCTCTGTCTGCCCGTTCAGCATAATGCCTCCCCAGTCGAGAACTCCAAGACCACCATAATGGTCCCTTTCCACATTGTTACTGTAATGAAACCCTGTCTCGGCCACCCTTCAGATAAACTGGAGTTCAGAATCGCTAGTGGCACTAAAACGACTCTCTTCCATAAAGAGGACACGATGCCATTGATGAGATGTCCAATTGTTGTGCTCTTTACGCCACTCAAAAGGGCGGCGCCAACGGCCAACTTTCAAAGGGATGCAGCTTTTTCAGATGGCAGGCGAACAGACCACCTTTGAGAAGGCATCTGGGCACAGACACGATACTTGTCGCCCCGTTGCTGCACACAGTTGCTGAGCCATGGTGCTTGCTGACTGGTTTCGGGCTCTTTTCGCCTGTAGGACGATATATCTGTCATCTGCTGCGGTTGTGTTCTTGGGGTGGCCACCACTAACTTCTCTAACAGCTGTATCTATGGTTTGGAAGACTTTCCAAGTGCACAAAATGACAATTTGTTTGATTCCGAACTTTTCAGTTACACTGGTAACACTACAATCCCTCCTTCAGCTTTCCGGTCATTCTTCCAGGTGTAAAGTCTCACCAGGTGGTTTCTTCTAACCATATTTCACGAAAGAACTCTCTTCTACTTGCAGCGAATGTCTTTAGTTGCGTATCCATCCTTCCTTTTATTGTAGTCTTGAGTTGAGTGCGCCCACCGTAAGCATTTTGCGAACGCTCATGTCGCTTGTGACGTTTTGTTCCTGACATTTGCATACACATGAACTTTCTACTGAACTGCGTGTTCATTTTATTGATCGCAAGAACCCCTCTTCTGCAGTTTCATGGCTATCTGATTAAAATTAACATTGTTTCTTAAGTTTTACACACCAGTGTAATATTTTGCCACCATTAACCTTTGTAGTATATTTTATTGCCATATATTACATGCCTTATAATATGAGGATCAGTGTATCATAATGTAATATATTGAATTACTACAGACATTTGGTTTGATTTTTTTTTCCTTACATGCTTCAATTATTCATTGGCACTATTACTTGTATACAATTGTTTTTTTTTAAAAAAAAGCCTTCTTAATACTAGTAAAGTTCTATCATGACTTATAGTCTATATTTGTTTTGATTTCTATGATTTCAATTTAATTTTAAAGACATGGCTTTATTAGATGATAAAAGTCAGTATCTTTGTTAATATTTGATTTTCTGCTCGTTTGTGTTTCAACAAAATTGTATTCTCAGAAGCCAGAATATTTATAATTTCTCTTAAATTTATACATAATCATATTATCTAGCTCTCATAATTTAATAAATAATATTTTTTTACTTTTTTATTTTAAATAATATTTTTTAGGTATTGAGCTAGAATCTTAAGTATCGGATTTCAAGTTTTATCATTCTTATTGAAATTAATGAATTATTAAGAATGAATTATTTTAATGGAGCTTATGTGAGTTTTTTGCATTCATAATAATTTATTTACCAAACCTATAATAATTAAAAATAATTCTTACTAATTTGGTCAATATTTTTCAGGTACTTTAGATGGTGCAGATTAACCAAACTTTTAAAATTTTGTATATTAAAAAAGTTAGTTTAAATTATGAATTGTTTATTTATCAAAATGCTTTTTTCTTCTTTCAGGTTTATGGTCTCCAGAGCAAAAAAGTGTTTCAAAGCACAGAATAAGTGCACGCATCACAAGTTGTAGCTGGACTTGTGATGGAATGATTTTAGCTCTTGGTCTCATTAGTGGATATATATCTTTGCGAGGAAGGGTAAAACAAAGGAGTTAAAAATTTTCTATTCATTAAAACCCCATTATATCCAAAATTTTAATACCAGTATTGTAAAATTTTATAAATGTGTTTGTAAATAAAACAGTTATTTTGCTTTTGATATCACAGGAATACAGTGACAAGGAATTTTTATATTAGACATTGTGTACAGTGAATAACTCTTAATTTTAAACAAAAGGTATGTTGGAAGAGATTTATTATGTAGCTGCTGATTAATTTTTTTGTTTGGATGTGTATGCTATTTTTGCCCTAATGTCCAAGCTGCTGTTATTTTGAATTGATCATTGTAGCATATATCACGTGAAGTGTAATTTTGTTTTCTTTTGAGTTTTATGTCAGCAAGCAGATACAGCAACATCTGTATGCTGTTTAAATGTATAAATAAATCATTGAGTAATATCTTTATTAAACATTTCATAAGCATTAAAAGAAATCATCTGAAAGTTAATTCTCGATGATTACCTGAAGAAAAATTCTTTATCAAATTTTATTATTGTCTAAGTATACCTCTATAGTTTGGCAAAAATGATTAGCTTCAAGTTGTTTTTAAATGTGTTTAAGAAGTTCCACATGTAAAATTCAATCCATTAAAAGCAATGTCTGTTAAGCCATAGTTGTAAAACATTGCTGATTTGCCCAGTTTCTATTCCTGGCAGTTAAGTGAGATGGCTTAACGAGGTTTTCTTTATGTGAGATGTAAATATGACCAATTTCTATTACAGGTAGTCAAGAAAACGTTGCTATATATAAGCAGTTAACCCTAATGTGTTTTTTTCATAATGACATGATCCAGCACAACACCTGATAGTCTTTTTTTTTTTTTTTTTTTGTCTAAAACTATCCAAAGTGAAGCTTTTACTGACTTCACTTTGTTTAGACAAAAGTTTGGTAGTTTTAGACAAAATCCCTGTCTTTGAGATACAGATATTTTATACTTCTGTAATCAACAAATGTTTTATGAATTTTGGTATTTTTCAGCATTGTTTCTTAGTGTCTATGTTTCCATGTCACATAAACAGAATTTTCATTAGTCACTGGCATAGCTACTTTGCTGATTTTATTGTCAAACTGGCTTATTAACTTAATTACATCTGTGTTTGGTTAAGCAAGCCTGTATTTTGCATTAAATTAATTCTTTTTTGTGTGATATATAAATATATGCATTTAGCAAAACATGGCATTTTCTGTAACTTGCGAAGCTGCAAGATAGGAAAATTTGAGGTCTTTGAGATTATTTTAGAAATTTATTCAAATTTAAATCAATCATTCTGGCATCCCGAATTTACTAATGGCATTTAAAATGAGTAGAATAATCTTCTTTGTGAATTTTGCACAACATAAATTCCCAGAAATATTGAAACTAAATACTGTTATATGGTTGCATTGTGTTTTCTAATGTACCATTTTGCCAAACCCACTATTTTGTATACATATATATGAAAACTACATTCTTTATTACATACTCTTTTCCTAAACAAGTGTTTTTAGCTCCTATTAATTAAAATATGACCAAGGATACCTATGCCTTGACTTATATATATTTGTCATCAGTTCCACTTGTCACGCAACTTCAGGATATTCCTGTGCTTCACTGCTTTCTGTTCTGTAGAAGCCAATACAAGTGTGTTGTGATGTCATATTTGTTACCCATTATTGGTTCTAAATTTCAGTGTTTGGTGAAAATGGTTGATGGGAAAATATGTAACTATTTTTTCTCCTGATCAGAATGCTTACTTGTATTTAAAGAAACAAAGTAAAGACTATGTGTTGAATAAGTATTTAATGTGTTTTTTAAACAATATATTTATATTATGCATTTTCAGAATGGGGATGAAAGGGTGAAAATTGAAAGACCAGGTGGTATTGGATCTCAAGTTTGGGGAGTTTGTTGGAGCCCTGTTAAGTAAGCATTCTTTGTGCAAGAAAATGTTAACATGCATATTAAGAGCTTAAAATGTTTAACATTTTTATATTGATTTCATTAGAAATGCTCAATAGATTTTGAGAGATAAACTTCCTTTAGCAGGATCAGATTATTTTTTGCAGTTGCATTAAATCTTTTGCCATTTTTTACAAATAATTGTATCTTAAAGTAGATATTAAAAACTTATTTTCATTTTATTATAAATGCATGAAAAATTCTTGTTAGAAGGGTGCTTATGATACTTTATGTTAATAAACTTACAAAGAATAATATTCTTTACAGAAGAATATCATTTAAGAGTTATACATTTCTTTATGTGCAGTTTTAGCTGGTTTTTTTGGAAATGCTGTTTATTTTAATAATTTAGTTGGGCAGTCCTTTCTTGTTTATATTGCTTTCCAAAGCAATAAATGTGGTTGGAGTAGTTGTTCTGTGTTTATGTGTCGTTGAATAAAAATATATTGCTCTTTTACCTCCAAGTTACAAAAGATTACCTTTTCCTTCAGTGTTCCTTAAGGCTTTCAAAAGTCTTAATATGTAACAGGAGAGTATGTTGTCTGCACTTTGAAACTTCTTGGCAGTTATTCATAGACTGATTAGGCAAAATTTTTATATTGCTATGAATTTTGTACATAGATAGGGAATTTTAGTGCATGTATGTGTGAAATTGTATTTTTCTTTGTAATGTAACACGGCAAATCTTGAGAGGAGCTATTCTGGAAAAATACAGGGGCAAGTCCATTTAACATTGAGTAAATAGATATATGGCTAAAGTTGCCAAATTTGCCGTCATTTTGGTCCGGTCCCTGTATCACTATGATAAGTATTACAATTGAATAAATGTAATTACCATTGTATTAGCTGTAACCGTAATTTGTAACCCTAATATTGCTTTCCAGTAATTTCGAGAACCAGAAAGTACTAGAAATATCTTGGCAGCCGGTTGAAAGCTATATAATGCCGGAGAGAGAGCATCTGCTTTGAGTTGTTTAGTTCAGCATGAGGTCGGAGATATTTATGGCTTAGCTTTCTCTTTAGATGTGCTTTGCATTGTATTGTATTTAATGTTCTTAGTAGTTTGAAGCATAAGTACTGATTGTACTCTGTGATACTGTGGACACCTGTATGATTATTTCTGCGGAAAATTCTAAAACTTGAAAGTATTTATTTTCATAAAATAAATTTTATTAACCCTTCATCGAACCTATGTGCATTCAATCTTTTACGAGCCCGTACGCTTGCAACAATATTATTTAAATGCTCTCTATACTGGGGGCCAGCTAATTAAAAATTTTTTCACTCTGGAATTAAATAAAAATTGCCATTTTTTATGTTTGATAATGAAAGTACGAGAGAAATAATAAAAGAAAACGTTATTATTGAGAAAATTAGAAAAATAATAACAGTTGCAAATAAAGTGTAAACCACTGAGGAGAAATTGTAAATATGTGTTTGGTTGATTAATGTTATAAGGAAACTGGCATTTTTAGCCTAAAACAAGATTTAATTTTTGGAATGGTAGAATTTCTGGAAAGTCATGGTAGAGCAACTTTTGTATGTCTGAAAGGCTACTGTTTCAAATATGTGCATAAAATGTTGGCAAAAATTAAGGTGCATCTACCTAAAATTTTTGTTACAGACGTATCATTGTGTTTTGAAAATAGTCTTTGAAAATTGACAATATGAATGATTGTGCCAGTCTGTATGATACCAACTGATCAGCACTATTTTGCCAATAAAACTTGAAATTATTAATCTTAAAGGCATCAAATGTTGAGACAGTTTGGAAAAGAAGCTTCTTGCATTAAACATTTAATTTTGTTTTGTAATTCAAGAGAAAATTCTTTAACCTCTTCAGGATGTGTGTATCTTATATGCATTAGCTGTTAATCCTGTGACAAGGTGGCATGCTGCTTAGTGCAACTCATCTTGCAGATGGTGTGTTGTTCCAGTAGTACAATCTTGCAAGATGGAATATTTCGCATCGCTAGCCTAACTTTTAAAAGAAATTCATTAAAAATATTTTTATTAAATGTTTTGATTTGTTCTGTAATGGTATCTCACACTAATATAATCATAAATACAGAATATCGAAAGATTCCGAAAAAAATTATTTAAAATCTAAATATTTGAGTCATCTTGATGAAATGTCTTAAAAAACTTACTTATATCTATCTAAACACATTTACAAAATAATGAAATGTATGATCAAATTAAATATTTGACTCATCTGGATGAAATGTCATAAAAAACTTACTTATATCTCTCTCCAAACAAACAAAATAATGAAATGTATGATCAAATATTATAGCATAAATGATTCAGAAAGCAGAAAGTGTGTAATAATCTACTCACTGGCATTTCATTAGTTATGAAATACATTTTCAGGTTGAACTTTTTAATTATTCTATCCCAGCAGAATAATGAATCCTGGGAATTCCCTCATTTTAGGCATATCTAGAGAAGTATGTTGATTTTGGATGAAGATGGATTTTTCACTCATCTTTTGTTCATAGAAATTACTAGTTTCTTCAACTAATATAAAAAAGGGTGAAAAAATCAATATCATTTTCATAGCTTTGAATTAAGTTTACTTCTGCAATTTCCGTGAATTCATAAGGCTTCAGTTACATAACGGATTGTGTTCGTGATGGAATAGCCACTGTTCTGCTGGATTCTGAGGTGAAAGCAAAACAAACTTCCAATTCAGTCTCTGAAAAAGTTTTGGTATCAAAATCGCTATTTTCACTTAAATCTAAAGTTTTGTCAAAATAGTCACTCATGAGGCTTGAAGGAACACTCACGGGCTTTACGATTCAAATCTACTCCTCTTCTGTAAAAAACTGCTTTCTCTTAGACATCGCACTATTAGTTTAACTCTACTACCTGGTGCAAAAAACTTATATTTACAATCTAAAGAATATGCAAACAATATACAAACCAGAGTTCCTAAAACCACTGCTCCACTCTGTCTTTCCATGGGAAAAAAATTAATTTGAAGCATCGAAAACTGTTCAGTGTTTATTTACGTGAAACCAACTGTGCATCAGCTGGATTTTGTTTATTTTATATCATCTGCTCGTACATCTAAACAAATAACCAGAATTAGAAAATACTTCGTGGACACAAGATCAAAAATGTATATGTTCAAATAATCTAACTGTAGTAGACACAAAGTGTCATCTAGTAATTTAAAACAAATTCTAAAAGAATGTGTGTGTTTGAGAATGCATATATGCAACAGTCTGGAAGATCAACGTAAGCGGTGATGCACCATTGCATCACCTGGCTGCTAGCGACATTTGGGACTGCTGCATATGTGACACATCTGTCTGCAGAGGGGTTTTAGTTCAGCAATGTGCTGTCACGAAGGGGTTAAGGAAGTTAAACATAAATTATATGAGCAAACCATAAATGCATAAATGAGCAAGCCATAAATGATAAGAAAGAGCTTTATTTATAAGCTCTTTCAGTATGTAACAGCTAAATCAATTGAGAAATCAAGGTTAACGTAATAATTTTTTTTGTTAATTAATCCATAAGATCTAAAGTATGTTTTTCTTCCTTGTAGAGATGAAGTTCTGTGTGTTTTTTTTAAATGGGAATTTTTTTTGTACAATGCTAGTAAATTTATTTCAAATTTACTACTTTATTTTTTTAGCTTCCCCCCCCAGAGATGAAGTAAAAATTTTCAAAGTAAATGATATAACCATACATGCCAATATAAGAAAATTCTAATTAAATTTCTTTTAAGAAATCCTGGGAAAATATTTTACAGTGCAATGAACCTTCTCTTAAGCTTATTGATACACTAAGAAATTTTTTATATGTGATGTGGTGAAAAATACATTGAGCCAACTGAATATGTATATATTTTGGATGTGAAATGATTGGGATATGATATATATATATTTGCTTAATTCGGTATTGGGGTATTTCAAATCAGGGATTTTTAGGAATAAATCTTGTCTTTCAGATGGGCCAGTCGTGATTCCTCTAAAAAGTTCATGGTTCATAGATTGTTATATATTCATTCATGCTTAGGTGATGTGTATTATAAATATAGCACCTAAGACTGCTCAGTACCAGCAGTTTCACCTAAATTTGAGACCTGGTAAATGAGTTGGGTTGGTTTTCATGGTTTTTCTCATGTGCAAGATGAATACAAGCCACTTTCCCCTAGAAAGTGTTCCCCAAAGTCATCCCTCCCTCATAAGCAGATACCCTTCATGTGCTTCAAACAGTAAAACATGAATATCGCATGTTAAGTGCATTTGACAATACCAGAGCAATCAAGAGCAGTTTGCTATAAGAGAGTAGCACAAAGGCCTTACAATCAGAAACTAATTTCTTACTTATGAAAAAAAAAACGTATGAACACTATGCAGTTACCATTAGGAATCAGACCCTAGATAGATCCATCATAATTCAGAGATGCATCCATTCTGCCTCTCCTGAGCTTAGTATTGCATACCATTTTGCATGCAAAATAAAAATGGTAGTCGGATCTAGCAGAGTTGCTATTGATATCAAAGCTTGTAGAATGTTTTTAAGTAAAAAGCAGTATTTGTACTTTCATAATAAGCATGTACATAATGTACTCATTTGTTAAGTAGTAATGTACTCATTGTATAGGTAATGAAAAAAAAAAAAAAAACAAACCTACAGTCAACTTCAGTCACCTACAACCTACAGTCAACCTACAGTCAAGTAAAAACAACCTATAGTCAAGGCCCACATCTGCTGCCATATAAATGCCACTGAAAATAGGTGTACATATTAGAATCCGTGGATTACACTTTTCTGAGTACTAATTTAAATAAATGCATTATTGTCATTAATAAATTAAAATTAGTTATTAAAAATATTTGCTAGATATATTTGAACTTCCCCTGTATATTTTATTAACATTTAGATATCTTTTCCGTTAATAGTGCTGAAATTTAAGACTGGTCATTAGAATCTAGAAGTTACTGTATTTTTCATATGTATCATTTTATTCTTTACAAATGTGTTATTCACTAATATGTTAATACTAATGTGTTATAAAATGTGTTATTCACTAATGATATCATTATTTTGGTAGGGATAATAATGACACAGTTCTTGCTGTAGTAGATTGGGGACAATCATTATCATTCTATAATAGTGCTGGGAAACAGGTATAATATTTTTCTTATCTAATTCTAAAGCAATATTGATGAAATTTGTATAAACATATTATTTATGAAAAATCATTGTTTTCTTCATCATATTTTGTAATAAATAAGAAGCAGAAAAATAGAAAGTAACTGACATTTTATACATTATGCAACAGTTATAGATAGAACTATCTAGTTCATAGGTTCCCAAAGAGACAGTACTCCCTCCCCAGTGGGACCTGGAGCTATCGATGGGTTGATGGGTGCAGTAGCGGGTTCAGAGGCAAAATGAGGGCGTTAAGTCTGTCAACAGGGGAAGCCTTGATGTCCTATTTAAGAAATTAATATAATAAAATGCTTTGAAATTACCTACTGTTTACATGAATAAACATTTTATCTAGCTGTCTAAAATTTTTATCATATTGTTACCACATTAAATAAGCATTAAAACATTTAAATTAGCATTAGGTACACATACACTTAATTTAATTTATTTATACATATAATTTCTTTCACTTCATGAACCTGAAAAACCAATTATGTCCTCCAACAAAATTTTTAATGCCCATTTGTCGAGCTATTACATTTGCTTGAAGGCAAATTCTAACTGTTGATACTGATAATCCACTTTCTCTCTGGTCTATTGTCCATATCTCTAAATTGTCTTTCTAGACAAGCCAGGCTATGGTACCAGTTTGACGAGATCTTTTATTCTTAGGCATTTTCTCTTAATTCATCTTGTTCGGACTTCACCCGCCGAATGCATTGCTTGTCAACTTAAAATACTTTAGCCGCAGCACAATTTTCAATTTCGATCACTTCTTCTCTATCGAAAGCTTAAAAGTAACTGTATAACTTTTCTTCGAGTAGGAGTCATAATAATAATAATATTTTTTAAAGTACAAATGATAAGGCAAGCAAAAAGCAAGCTACAAAGCAGTAAACACATGTAAGAATGAACACAGCACTTAGCAAGTAAATGTAGCTTTTTCCATTAAAGCAAAAAGTCATAGGAAAGTGTGGGCAAAACCATGGCATTTATTGGAAAGTATATGTATTATGGTTACTTTACAGAGAGTGCCACCTATCTTAGTTAGGTAAGTTTGAACTTATTGCACTGCCTTAGTGCAATCAGAGGTTAGAATATTGCAGCGAATTCTTACTGTTTCACTTGTGCATAACTTGTGATCTGAATTAGCAAAGTTTCGAGGACAGAGGAAAAATAAAATTTCCTCAGATACGTTGCAGACTTTAATTTTCAGCTTTTAAGCATGTGTAAGCCATGGCTTATCTACCCGAAATTACAGTAGTCTAATTTTAACCTTTACTATGTGACTGATTTAGTACTTTCTACTGCATGATTTTAACTTTGTGGATATATGTCTGCTGGTTTCCTGCATTTCTAGAACTGAGTTGGTGATATCTGTTCCTACTTTAAGAGTAATTTACAACATTGTCACCTGTTTATACTGGAATTGTTTTTAGCTGATAACTTTCATGCACAAAAATTGTTGCTGGAAGTTGCAGTAAGCACTCAAGTTTTTCTCTTCACTTAGCCTGATTCCTTAGCTCTTTACAAACCTTAACAATATGTGGGTTTACTGAAAAAAAATGATATCGCCTATCATGCAGTTATATTGGTCAAATCATAAGTATTTGAACAGTAGTAATGCATATCTAATGCGTTTCATAGATTTTTTTAACTTTACTTGGGCTTACATTTTTTCATATTTATATAGTTCTATGTGTTCTGTTTAAAGTATTGAATTATATTTCACTGCTTTCTTTGTTGAATAGCAGAAGAAAACTAGCAGAAGTTTTTTTAAATAAACTATTTATCCATAAAAACTCAAAACATTTTCATTGTATGCTCTCAGATCAAAAAGTAAAGTTAACTATACCATTTAGTTTGTAATAAATTAAAAGATTGAATTCTATTTTAAACTTAAAAAAATTTACTTTAGTTTTCGAAATTTTTTATGTGAGATTTTGTTAGCTTTTTCTAGTTGGACATCAATAGATTAGCATGTTTGTTTTACTCTTGTGGTTACATTTGGGGATATTCTTACCAGTATTATTTTTCCATAATAGTTATATGCTGAGATGTTTCTGGTAATCAAATGCCTTTTTGTTTCAGCAACTATTGAGCCCAAAGCAGTGTTTTCTTTTATGCCTATTTTCATAGCTCAGAGTAATTAGAATAAGTCCTGAAAGAAAAACATCTAAAAGTGATTTTTCATTTAACTCATCGAAGACACCCAAAACACCTGACCATTTAGGCATCGCAGGTCACCCGAAAACCTGAATCATCTTCTACCTAGTGCTTTCCCCCATCACATTAGTACATTGCTCATTGCTTTCAGGAGTTGTTAAATGACATGCCAATCATTCTTTTAAAGCAACTAAAAGTAGTTCTGTTATTTTGATGCACCCTCTTTTCCGTTTGTTTACTGTCAATGTTTAGCTATTGATGCTCGAAGTTGCAATCCTCTCCCAAAGAGAAACTACATGCAGTGGTAAAAGCATCCAGGAAAGAAGTTGTCACTTAACTTAAATAGGTTATTGTTAGCGCTACAACATTCTACTTGTCATTGGGGAAGGAAAACCATTCCAAGAGAAATTTGTCCACACTGTCATTTTCGATGTTTGAGGATAACAGATTTGGTCCTCTCTCAATGCAAATAGCACATGTAAAATCTGTTTTAAAATTCATTGACCAGTTAGTCGTTAATGTCTGTGTGACAGATCATAAATGTCGAATTAAGGGGAAATTACCCATTTCACAGCAAAATCGAGAAGTTCAGATAAAGATTGTTTAGTGTATTCATTATAAACAAAGGACAAAGACAAGAATATCAGTACTAGTGCTCAACATGCATAAGAAAAGTGGCCTTACATGTCGGGGATTGTCTTAAAATATATTGCAAAAGAAAAAACTGTATGTAAATCTACATGAAATATCTTACGTCCAGATAACTGTAATGTGTGCATAATTTAAATATATACATTTGAGCTTATTTTTATGCAAAACATTTTCAGAACAGGAGTTAAGAGTTTTCTGTTAAGGACAAAATCAAGCTTTTTATAAACCCCAGTTAATATAAAATGCTTAATATTCCTCTGTAAATTAATATACAAAAGGTGCCATGCAAAATTTGCATGTTTATAATTAATAGTTTGATGAAGCCAGGGTCTAAGATATTAATTAATCACCAAAATGAACAACTTGGGTTTTGTAATTCTGCTTTGATCTGGTAGGAATTACTCAGTCATAGGCTCTGTAAAGTGATTTTAATCATTAATATCCTCATGAAATTTGCTCTTAAATGTGTGGAACTGTTTGCATTTAAGTTATGTAAGCATAATGAATGCTTATTAGCTGGTCTTTTTGAGCTACAGGTACCATAAAGCTAGATTTCTACATTGGAATTCTCTCAGCCTCTTCCCTTTAGTGCTGGAACTATTTTCATAAAGATCTGGCATGTTTTGAAAAACTGTAATTAGCAACACATTCATATAACCAACATTTAAAGAAAAAATCTTGTGGATTTTCATTTGAACATTTTGTGTATTAATATGAAAAATTAAGAGGGGAGGAACAAGATATAATTACATCCTCTTAAGTAAAGGAAATTTGTGTTCCTTTTAACTAAACTATTAATATTTGAATTTTCTCTTTATTTAGGTTGGACGAGAACGAGCATTAGGATTTGATCCCCTTAGAGTAACTTATTTTTCTAATGGTGAATACATAATAATTTGTGGCACTAACAAGAAATGTTCCTTATATACTAAGGAAGGAGTTTTTGTAGGTTATATATCTGAACAAGATTCCTGGGTATGGTGCTGTGCAACAAAAGCTGATTCCACGCATGTGGTAAGAATGTATATTAATGTATTTCATAATTTTAACTTTATAGTCAGATGCTGTGCTTCCTTCAACTCATAGGTGATATAAGGGGGCGAGAAGGAAAAAAAAGTGTTTTTCAAAATAAAATATTTTACTCATTTATTTTCTGTGAAAATCTATTAATGTTTCCCTTCCCCAAGAATTCTGAAAATAAGCTGTATAATAATATGATTAATATGTTAATCGGACAGTTTATGAGCGTTTTAAAAACTGCTACTTGGATGATTAAATATATATTTTTTCAGTTTTAATGCCGTACTCATATTTACACGAGGAGCTTTTTAAATATTTAGAAAATATATTTGTTCTAGTCATTAAATTATTCCATTGGTTATTTTGGACTAAATCATGCACCAGTGACCAAGTAACTAACAGTATGAAACACTGGTAGTCTATCCTGGGTCCTATTTCTAGTGTATCAATTAGACAGCCGCATGAGATTTTCATCATTTTCCTCAGGTTTAACAAATATTCCATGGGCTTATAGCCTTTGTGTACATTGCCATAACTCAACAATTCAGTCTAGTTTTTAACACTAAATTCCATAAAAAATAATGTTTCAGTCAGTGACAAATCATGTATAATTTAAATGTATGTTAAATTCTGTATTTTGCTTTAAAGTATCTGTGTTTATTATATTTAATTTTCTGTATTTTACTTTAATATGACAGAGTCTATTATAACAATTTTTTGAATGTTTTAGCTATGCATTTATTAAAGAATATAGTTTTCTTAAAAATGTAGTATTTATTCAATTTTTGAATTTAAATTTTCAGTGCACTTTTGATTTTTCTAGTTTCTTTTGTACAGTCCTATTGGTACTCCATCAGCATTTGGTATGAAAAGCTCATTTTAGGATCTTTACCAAAGGTCCAGCATGGGAATGTGCTTTTTTTAAATTTTTTCTGGTTTTCATGTAAATGGACTGTCTTCTTACTCTGTCTCACTATTTACTTGAAATTTTCAGTGAAGCTCATAGAAAAATTATCATAAAAGATATCATGCCTCTGAGTAGGGAACAAAAAAATGCAGAATGGCACAGAAGTATCTAAAATATCATACCAACATTTCTACTTTTCTGTTCAGCATAACTGCATTTTGTGTGCTATTTGAGTTTGAACACACTGTGATTACTAGTGACAGAAGAATGCATCATACAGTTTCTGAGATTGTTGATGAATTTGCTATTGTCAGGTCTTATATTGTCTCAATTCTGCATTTTGGACTCTGCTGTAAATGACATCTTCAGCTTTTTACATGCCATTAAAGATTGAGATTACACTAGCTGGCATCATTGATTTATGAATCATAGATTAGCTCCAGTTTGTGAAATTGCTGCTGATTTCAGTGCTTGTTAATTTTAAAACAAAATACGAGAGGACTATGGCACTGCTTCCACACTGCCAGATTTGGCAATGGTAAACAATCCATAGCCCATTCTTGTAGCAGCATCGCAGATTTCAATGACTGAAATAGGTATGAATTCATTGGAGGATAAAGCAACAAACATTAAGTTTTTTCATTGTTTGGTTGAATCTAGGTTCCAACTGTATCAGTCTGATATGTACATTAGATTGTGGCATGGGCTGCATAAAGCTACATATGTCTTCATTAGCCTGAACTATACCTTTTAGTGGTTTGGGATATGTTCATGTGGTCTTAATCAGGCTATCTATTTTATTTGGCTCTGTTTTGACCAATCTGAGATATGTGAACAATCGCTGATCATCAGCATGTCTTAATGATAATAATTTTTCTGGTAGAGTTGGAGTGTTTTAACATAACCAGTCTGTAGTTACCATGAAATGGCTGCAGTAGTACAGACGTTACTAACTACAATTTATCTTCTGTAACCCCTCAATATGAAATCTTTAGAAACAATTATGAAATGCATTGAAAATCACCTTGTGATCAATGGATCCAGCTCCTAATATAATGCAGTTGTGGGATACGTTGCAGGGTTTGTGAACAACTTTGCCTGCTGAATGATTTTGTAACTCGTTGACTACAAGTTCTGATATGTTGAACAATTGCTGAGGATTAGAAGTGGCCCAGCATGAATTTTTGTCTTTCTGCATGTGTAGTTACTCTTTTGGGGGGGGGAAATAGAAGCTCCATGAAGGAAGTGGTTGTTTTTGATGAAATTGAATATGTGCATAGCACATACACAGATAATAAAATGCTTTAAAAATCAAGGTCATAATACCCATTCACAGCTCACACCATTGAGTGCTCAAATTAGTAGTTAGTCGAACTGCCCCTGGTAGCAATGCATGCTTGCATTTGTCGAGGCAAGAAGTGGGAGAGCTTCCCAATGTCATCCTGCAACACATTCTGCTAGGCTTTCATCAGATGTCACTCCAGATCAGTGATATTTTATGGTGCCCAAATCTGGTGGCCTATCATGTTCCAGACATGCTCAATTGGTGAACTGTCTGGTGACCTTGCTGGCCAAGGAAGAGTATCAACTGCATCGAGACAGTCCAGAGATATGTGAGTGGTATGTGGCCTGGCATTATCTTGTTGGAAAATGGCCCCAGGATGACGTGCCATAAAGGGGAATACAACCGGCTGCAGGATGGTATCAACATATCATTGGGTTGTTAAAGATGTATGGAGGATGACCTGCTGTCATAAGAAATAGTGCCTCACACCATCACACCAGGGGGTTATGGCTGTATGCTTTTTCAAATCAAAAGCTGATTGGAACTGATTGCCCTGCCCTCTCCAGACACGGACATGGTGGTCATCTGATTCAAGAGGGAAATGGGATTCATCGCTGAACACTACATGATGCCAATCTGAAGGCAACGATGAGGATCAACTGCGACACCACTCCAGACGACTCCGCCCATGTTGGGTCAAAGGCAAATGTCTTAAATGCCTCTGTGAGTGTTACCCTGCCTCAGACAAGCGGCATGAGATGGTAGACTGTACCACAGGAGGTATAGACAGGGCTGTAGTGTGTTGAATAGTCGACAATGATACCATTGGGGTGGTTCGGGCCTTGCGAACAATCATCCTGTTTTGTCTTGCATTTGTGGTCCTTGGCCTTCCAGAGCCTTCCTTTCATTGGCAATTTCCTTGTAGCAATCATTGCTGCAAACATCTCTGCAGAACAGTGTCTGTACGCTGCAGGTAGCGGCCTAATGCGACTACGTTTAAAGTCGTTTAGTTGTCTGTAAGGTCTTCGATATCATCGTTACAGCATCTTTATTTACTTCTTTACGGAGTCAGAATGGCAACAACAACAAAAGATAAATTTTCGGCCTCTTTTACTGGTTTTGTACTTTGGGAATTGTGTACTAGAAATACGGGCTATGATCGCAATTCCTGTTCATTTGCCTTGTTGCCTTAAAACTTTGATCATTTGCGTGTTTGATCAAGATGTTTTTGCGTACCAAATTTCACCATGATCGTAAAAGTCCCTCTTGGGGCTTCGATTTTTTTTTTTTTTTTTTTTTTTGCAAAAGAGTGTATATTAGTTTATTTTTATCTTTTATGAGAAATTTGTGAATGTATCTAATTATCTTATTTGATATTGGTATCTGTCTTATTTGCTGAGACGTAGTGGATTTAATTTTGAGTACAATAGACCTTTTTCTCACTGTACTGTTTTTAGGCAATTGGAAGTCAAGATGGTATTGCTGCATATTATGAAGTTTGTTTTACCACTGTTCATAGTTTATATCGTGAACGTTATGCTTATCGGCAAAACATGACAGATGTAGTTGTTCAGCATTTAATCACAGAAGATAAAGGTTAGTTAATTTATTTGAACTTTCATTTTATGTACCTAATTAGTGATATATCAGAGTTTGAATTCTAATTATAATCTATAAAATTTTCTATCTGCAGTGGTCGTAAAGTGCCGAGAATTGGTGAAGAAATTGGCTATTTATAAGAAGCGTTTAGCAGTGAGTTTGTGTTTAATTGAATTTTTTATTTAATGCAAATTCCACTGTAACCTTAAATCTGTATTACAGATAATTTAATTTATTGAAAATATGATTTCCTATAGATACAGATGCCTGAAAGGATCAATATATATGAAGTATCAGATGAATCGTCTGACATGCACTACAAAGTGAAGGAAAAGATAAACTTAAAAGTTGAATGCACATTATTAGTTGTATGTGCTAAGCATATTGTACTTTGTCAAGTAAGTTTCATATCTCAGTCATTCATGTAGTTCTTTAACTCAGGAGAGTTTCTTAGCTCCATAAATATTTTGATTTTTTTCATTTTATGCAAAGACAAATGCCAATTTAAGATGATTAATGCTATTAATCAGAACTCTTTTAACTATTATTTAGCCCATATTACAGAAAACTGAAAAATTCATATTTATTAAAAGAGCATTAGTGTTCCCCCTCTGCTAAACATATACTGTGTCCAAAAAGCCCTTAAAGGCCTTTATTTTCCCAAAGGTAGTTGTAGACATACTTCTGGTTAAAAAATGTTTCAAATGAGGCAAAGATTTATGTTTTTAAATTTTAAAATAAAATTATATCAAATACAAAATCTAATATTTTACATGTTCCTCTGGTTCCTATACTTATATTTAAGAAAATTTTGCTATTGTTATAAAAATCAAAATGTTTGACTTCCATATGAAAAAATTGACCAAAATATTTGATAAAAAATTCAGGAATCTTTCTAAGAGGCCATACACTAATTGAAGAGCAAAGTGTTTATATTTGTATGCAACTAAAAATTTGAAAGTTTCCGATGTTAAGAGATCATGTGATGAGCATTTCTACAAAAGTTATCGTGACAAATATTGATCAATATAATGTTGCATGCATATGGATTTGTAACAGATTGAATGTACACAACATGATGCAGTGCAAAGCATATCTAAAAGGCAAAGCTGACATAGATATCTCAATGCTCCAAATTCAGCTCTGAACTAAGAATTGTGAAAAACGGAGAGTTGATGCTCTGTCTGGTCTAATATAGTTTTTCCCCTGCCGCTAAGAGATTTATAGTACCTTCCATTTCTCAAAGTTACTGGAAAGCATATGAGGGCCATATACTGTGACATGTAGGATGACAGGGACCAGACTAAAATTTCACCACAAATGTTCTCCAAGTTTGGCGATTTCTCGCCAAATTTGAAGACTACAGTTAGTCACCAAAACCGTCAGCAACTTAGCGATATCTCATGAATTTAGGCAAATAGCCATTTACTCTACATTAAGTAGACTTTCCACCTGTAGTCTTCTTTTTCTGCAAAGAATTTTCTTTTCAAGCATTTCATGTTACATTGAGCGGGAAATACTACAATTTCAATAAAGTTATTTACATACATATATACAAAATTCTTGAAACTGCCCATTTCCCAAAGACTGCTCATTCTGGGTTGTACAATCCCTGGACAGGAAGCCATACGTACAATTAAAGAAAATCAGTGCAGTACTCAAATAATAATTTCAATAAATAACATAAAACAAACCAAATACTAAATCAATAAATAAATGCAGAAATTCTCAAATTTATATACAAACAGGATCATGGTCTTAGTATTGTATTTACATTATATACAATATGGGGGCTAGGTACTATAATCACAGTAAGGGTCTAGCTTATCATAATTAATGACTTAGGCTTAGAATTTGATGATCTACGGATTAGAACTGCACTGTCGTTCAGCCTGTTTAGGACTGTCACAGGGTGACTGTAGTTTATAGTCTCCATAAGGCATTCGAACGTTGCCAGCACGTAGCACAATCCTAACAGCATCACCTTGAACTGCCGGTGATGTAGTAATAGTAGTCCAGTACTAAATGCCATCTTTTTCTCGGTCATCAGGTTGTATCTCTACCTGCCAATATCCACTCTTTACATCAAGCATCAAAAACCACCTGCTTCTAGAAAGAGTGTCCAAAATGTCGTCAGTTCTAGGAAGAGGGTAGCTATCTTTTTTGTACTGTCATTCAACCATTCAACTGCCAATAGTCAGCATAAAATATAGTCAAACCATCTTTTTTTGAGACCAGAACAATAGGAGAAGACCAAGGACTAGCTGAAGGCTTGATAACTTTGTTTTCTTTTATGTCCTTTAGAAATTTTCCTCCCTCCTTTTGTTTAGCAATTGATATCCGTCTTGGATGTTGCTTGATTGCTCGATGAATCTCTGTATCAGTTCTATGTTGTGTCAAACTGGTTTGAATTACATCAGATGAGCTGGAGAAAACATTTTGAAATTCTTGAATGATGCTTTCTGCAGCATTTCTCTCTTCATCACTTAGTATTATGCAATAACTACGATGCTAATCTCTCCGAAGCCTCAAACTGTGAAGGACTACTGGTTGGTTAATGCAGGTCACTGTAATGCATGCTGCAACCACTTCATCTTTCCTAATGACGTTCGCCTTCTCAGTTACACTGGCAGATCTCACTGCAATAACAGTTCTCAGTAGGTCGATGAATGCCGAGACTACTAGAGCTTCTTTCGAGCTGTTACAGCTCTTGGGGTATTCTGCGATGCTGTACCAGAAATTTCTGTTTTTAGCTGAGGATCCAGGTAGTAATAATTATGTTGTTGCTAGTACTGTGATACCATCCTGAGCTATGATTTGGGGGGGGAATAGATTTGACGCCTTCATCCTTTAACTTAGAATAGGGTTGTGTCCTCAGAGGCAGAATACAGTTCATTATTTTTGAAGTCCAAGGAAAAATTATATTTCCTTAGACAAACTAATCCAAGTATGCATGTGTTGGTAATATTTGTTATACGCTCTTTTGCAAAAAAATCACCAAGGACTTTTGCGATCGTGACGAAATTTGGTATGCAAAAACATCTTCATCGAACATGCAAATTATCAAAGTTTCAAGGCAAATGAACAGGAATTTCGATCATAGCGCACATTTCTAGTACACAATTCGCGAAGTATAAAACCTGTAACAGAGGTGGAAAATTTATCTTTTTTTTTTTGTTGCTGACATTGTAATTCTGTAAAGAAGCAACTAAAGATGCCATTACGATGATATCGAAGACCTTACAATTAAACAACTTTGAACATGGTTGCATTGTACGGTTGCATGAAGCTGGATGGTCATACCAAGCAATAGGCCACCACCTGCAGCATACAGACACTGCTGTGCAAAGATGTTGACAGCAATGGTTGCTACAAGGAAATTGCAGATGAAATGAAGGCTCTGGAAGGCCATGAAGCAGAAATGCGAGGCAACATTCATTGTTAACTAGTCAATAAACTACAGCCACATTGATACCTCCCGTGGTACTGTCCACCATCTCGCGGTGCTTGTGTGAGGCAGGGTTACACTCACAGAGGTCTTTAAGACATTTATCTGTGACCCCACAACATTGGCAGATTCATCTGAAGTGGTGTCATGTAGTGTTCAGCGATGAATCCCACTTCACTGTGGAAGCAGATGACCATGTGTTCTTGTCTGGAGAGGATGGGGCTAGCAGTCCCAATAAGCCTTTGTTTTACAAAGGCATACAGCCATAACATCTGGTGTGATGGTGTGGGACACTATTTCTTATGACAGTAGGTTATCTTTAGTCATCCTCCAAACATCTTTAACAGCTCAACAATATGTTAATATCATCCTGCGGCCAGTTGCATTATTCTTCACGGCATGGCATCCTGGGGCCATTTTCTAACAAGATATTGCCAGGCCACATACCCCTCACATATCTCTGGACTGTCTCCAGGCAGTTGATACTCTTCCTTGACCAGCAAGGTCACCAGAGCTTTCACCAATCAAGCATGTCTGGAACATGGTGGGTCCCCAGATTTGGGCACCATAAAATATCACTGATCTGGAGTGACAACTGATGAATGCCTGACAGAATGTGTCACAGGATGACATTAGGAAACTCTACCACTCCTTGCCTCAATTCAGGCATGCATTGCCGGCAGGGGTGGTTCTGCGAACTACTAATTTGAACACTCAATGGGTGATTTTGAGCTGTGAACAGGAACTATGACCTTGATTTTTTGATCGTTTTATTATCTGTGTATGAGCTATGCACATATTCAGTTTCATCTAAAACAACCACTTCCTTCATGGTGTTTCGATTTTTTTTTTTTTACAAAAAAGTGTATATGTTGTGTGATGGTAGGCAGCACTTCAAAACAGGATGTAAACATTTAATTTTACATCAACATTTATTTTATCCCTGGACACAGTCTGGTGGGTAATGCAGGTGCAGATGGAGTTTACATTCCAGTTGTCGAGCGAAATCTTTTTGGATGATGGTAACATTGGTCTTGTACTGATGGCATATTCCAAGGAACTTCATTGATATGTCCCATGAAGTAGAGTCCATTACTGCTGCCCCTTGTTTCAGAAATCTGAAGCTGTTTACAATGGTTCTTCTCAATATCTGGCATTCTCTGCTTTGTGAGATGCCCTCTAATTTGCTTTCTGCATCCGTGCTAGGGAGCAGTCTTATTTTCTGTACTTCTGCATTTCCTTCATATATGGCCTTTGGCATATAACTATTCTGCCTCAAGGCATTGACTTGCCTGGTTAAATTGCCTAGACGAGCAGTCACTTGATCCACAGGCTCCTGCTCTTGAGCAGCTATGATTGGGTGGCAGTCTACAAGTTGCTTGCTGGGCTGCCTTGAATTTCATGGTAAGCCCTTGACATTTCCCCTTGATTTGACTTTTTAAGCCCTTGACGTTTCCATTCGCATGGCTCTCTGTATCACAGTATCCTGGGTGCCATCAATGAAGTATTGCAGGGACAAGATTTCCCTTGTTTCTGATTGTCTGAAAAGACGACATAAGAGAGCCCTTCAACATGCATGTTGGGCTACTGGAGGGTTCCGTGAGATTGTGACTAAAGCCTGCTATAGCACTTTAAACACCTCTGTCCAAAGCGCAGCTCCAACACATTGGATAGAGCTTCAAATTCTAGTCTCTGGTTTTCAGGGAGTTAAAAGGATAGCTGCTGCGTCTGCTCTCACAGAAGCAGCGATATGGCAGGCCTTAGCTTCAGAATCCCATCCATTTTCATTTGCCAATATAGAAAATTAAGTCTTATACACTTGCAAGAAAGTCTTACTATAATGTATTGATAGCATTAAAGAGGGATTAGAAGGTGTAACAGTTTGAAACTGGCTGAATTGCTTCCTGCTGTTGCTGTGAATTTCTTTGAGGTGTCAACTTCTTTGATAATGGCAGAAACTCTGTAATCAATTTGTTGTTTGAGAGTAAAAACTCTTTCTTCAATTTGTTGTTAAACAGCAAAAAGCACTTTTGCAGCTGAGGATGATGGTTCGGTAAAACCATCAAAACTAGTCCTGTGAAATTTTGAAAAATTAATGCTGATTTTTGTTGTTTGACTTCTAAATTAATATTTGCTTGGCGTGTTATTGTATTTTAATTAGCACAAACTTTCTTGAATTTCTCCAACTTTATCTTCAACCATGTCCTTTTTGCCTTCCGTAACCTCAAATTTGATTTCTATTATGGCAATAATTTCTCTTTTCATTTCATCTTGACCTGTTTCAATCTTTTCTTGAACTGATTTGATGGCCCATTCCATCCTTTCTTGACCTGCTTCATCCCTCTTGGTCAGCTTTCATCTCTATTTTAACAGTGTTAATGGTATTAGTCAGCTTTCATCTCTCCTTTAACAGTGTTAATGGTCTTTTTCATCTTTTCTTGTAATGCATCAAAAGTAGTCACCAGCTGTCTTAGTTGTGCATCCATTGCTTTTGTCACCAGCATTCAATCCTACTTCTGACACTAAAAATCATTGTGTGCATATGGGTTCATAATAGATTGAATACACACAAAACCGATGATAAATGGATAAAATTTATTTTACCGAAATGAACACTTTATTGATCTGGAACTTTACTCAAGAATAGTTGTACAACTCTTCACAGTATTATTGAGTACAATCAGTAGTTACACTTAAAACTAATAAGAACATTAAATGCAATGCAAAGCGCATCTAAAGAGCGAAGATAACACTTAGATATCTTAGTTCTCTGAACTCATGCTGAACTAAACAATAACTACTGATAAACTGATGCTTTTCCTTGTCTTATATAATTTACCCTGGATGGCAAAATATCTCTAGGACTTTCTTGCTTCTCAAAATTACTGGAAGGTATATGGAAACTGGGTATGGACAGTTACTTTTAGGATTAATTACAGTTATGTAGTCACCAGACCTAACTGTCACCAAGTGTGGCAAATTATTCCCTCAAAGAATTGCCAGCTTAGTGATATCTCACCAATTTAGCGAGATATCCATTTACTCAATATTAAGTGGCCCCTGGTAACCTTATTTTTCCAGCAAAGCATCTTTTGTTTCAAGCATTTCATATAACATTATACAAAAAATACTAAATTTCACTTATAATTTCCGTAAAGTTATTTACATATATACAAAATTTGTAACATTTTTTCCCCCAAAATGAAGATTTGATTCACAGAATATTAGATTTTGCACTTTAGAAAACTTATCAGATTTCAGTATTGTAGTGTAGCCTGTTGAGTATAGCATTATTCATATACATTCAACCAGTGTAGAATTAATTTCCCTTTAGTTTTGCTTTGAGTGGCAACTTATCACTTTATATGATAAACTTGAATCTCACCTCAGATCATTAGAATTCTTTGGCATGACCTCAGACAAATATTCTGCAATGCTCTTCCCATTTGTGGAGTCGCGTATTCCAAAAGATGTGTTGAGAGTTTGGTCGAGAAACTCGTTCAGTGAAGAAAAATCATATAGTGCAAGACTGACCCAGCTTTTAAATTTTCCAAGGGCTGATGTCGAAGCGGAAGAAAGAATAACTCTAGAAAAATCATGTATGAAGCAAAGTGATCCCTACAGAAAAATTCATAAGGATGGGTAAGATATTACTATACCTACTGTAAGCAACTTGTTTTCGAGAGCAAAAGAAATAAATAACAATAATGTAATAAATTGTATATTCTGTGAAAAATCTCATCAAAGCAATGATTGCTAAAAATCACAAAATTTAAGTCATGATGAAAAATTTTAAATTATGAAAGAGAAAAAATGTTGCTTTACATGTTTGAAAACCAATTATCGAGCTAAAAATTGTAAAAGCAAAGTTCTACACATGTTTTGTGGTAGGAAGCATTAATTGTTCGTTGTCTAGAATTTAAGCAGAAATCAAAAGTTCCTCTCGAGTGCAACCAAGAAAACTGTGAAATTAGCACTCCTACTTCAACTTGCACTTCAGCAAGAGTATTGCTTTAAACTTTAGTGGTTGCCATTAAGGAAAAAAATTTCACCTTCAAGCTTTGATTGATACTGGATCTGAATATGCGTATGTTTTAAAATCAACAGTAGAATCCTTAGGAATAAGATCAGAAGTTTATAAAAAATTAACACATGTGTTTGCAGGAACGACATCTGATATGAATCATAAATTACGTTTATTTTATAAAAATAAAATAAACGTAGAGATTCTGCATACTCGTTATAGCTGCAAAATTCCTATTTTAGATCAGCCTATAATTTGTGGATATATACCTTGTATACAGAAAGGATACTGGATTACTTTTTTTATTTATTTATTATTATTCCGCCAGCTTCACCCCTCAATGGGGCCACCAGCGGCCGAGCTGTAAAGTCGCTGAACACTGGTAGTTCGGTTCGAGGTTCGAATCCTGCAAACGGGCTGGCTGCATGGGCGTTTTCATGGTTTTCCCCATGTCTAACGTATATACGAGCCAGTTTCCCTTAGAAAGTCCTCCACAAAGGCATCCCTCCCCTTAGGCAGATAGCCCTCGAGGCTTTGCCATAATCACACACACACACACACTCACTCACACCTCAATGGGCACTACAGGTCAGTCATGTTATTTTGATCATTGCTACAGCAACACTGTAGACACTGGAGTAGCTTGTGAAAAGTTAGTCTACAATTTTTTTTTTTTTTTTTTTCAATTTAGAAATAAATGAATCTTTGCATCATTTAAAATATTTTTGTAACTGGAAGCATATATCTGCAACCAGTGACTGCAAAATTAAAGGCTGGGTAAGGACATCTGTTATCATGGTGTTTATGCATTGTACTTTCTTTAGAAGTAGTTTATTTAAAATACTGAATTTTTAAAGATGTGCATGCGTAATTCAAATAATTTTTCAAAGAAATGATAAAATTATCATGTGTAATGTGAAAGTAAAATGCCTTAATTTTTATGTCATGTTAAATGCATAAACTTTTTAGTTGATTATATTATCTTTATAGCATGTTTTTCTTCTTTAGGAAAAAATTCTTCAGTGTTTGTCATTCCAAGGCGTTTTGGAGAAAGAATGGGTTATGGATGCTCTAATTCGATACATAAAAGTCATAGGTGGGCCACCAGGAAGTGAAGGCCTCCTTGTTGGATTAAAAAATGGACAGGTGAGAATATTTTAAACATTTTGAAGTGAAGGGAAACTCAAATTATATTACCAAATGCAGAAAATTTTTTAAAATTAGAAAGTCTGGGAGATATTGTAGAAAATAGTAGATTGTAGAAGAACTATTTAAAATGTAGAAATATGCAAAAATCATGTATTTCATTTATTTTGGTTTGAAAATTTATCTTATATATATAAAAACAATGAGAAATGTTTGAGATTATAGCACTATTTTAATTCAGTTATTTTCTTCTAATTGCTTTTAATACTTTTATGTCTGTGAAAATTCTCATGTTTAGCAATTCTTTCTAATTTACTTTAACTGTTGTCTGTTCAGTCTGCTGTACAGACACTGAAAGTTTCAATGTATCCTGTGAATCTACTTCTATTTATTTATACAATCGGCTAGTTTTTCATTTCTAAACTGTGGTTAGGTGCAAAAAGCTGGCCATTTCTATAAATAAATAGGAGTGGAACTGGGCATAAGCTAAGAAACAATAATTACAGTTTGTAACTGTTTCTTCATTTATGACATGTACAGTAACATGAAACATTAAATAGGAATTGAAAAATAAATATATATATGCATGTATTTATTTGGTGCAGAGCTATTGTTTTCCTTCTTTTGCAGTTTGATATGTAACATCTATTTAAACATTTTATGAAAATTGTCTTTCATTTTTTTCCCTATTTTTTCTATTTTTTTTTATATACATATCAATTCTAATGAGGTGTATGAGGGAGCATTTATTTTTTATATATTCGTTTTACCCAGCTTAAACAAAACAAAAAAGTGATTTTGGACGTCTGAAAGCAATTGAATTTTCTCTAGATTATATCTAAAACAAAACCATGCAAATCAAATGAGAATTTCTGCTTTCTGAGCGTGTATACAGAAACATATTGCATACGTACGCTCCAGAAAAATCATTCTGTTACGAGCTCGTATACAGAAACGTCGTTTCAGTTCTCCAATGGGCATCGAGCTCCACTGCGTGTCATCTGGCATATATTAGCCAATGAGCACAAAGCAAGCTCAAGGCTGTTATTTGGATGTTCTTTTGTTCATCTTGTCCTGAGTTGTGTGAGTACACGTGCCTTTGGGAAATAGTTTTAGAAATTATCATCTTTTGTTATGTCTGCGAGAGAGGTGAAATCCTTGTGTACGTTTCAAAAATCGTACACAGTTGACATTTCTTCCATTATTTCCTCAAAGAAATGTAATAAATTTGCGATGTGTACCATCTGTCGTTGCGATGTTTCGATTTTGCATGGTGGAAGGGCGGATGTTCTCAAACATGTGCGTACACAAAAACACAAGGCCAACATGAGTTGTTTTGAAAAAAACAAAAAATTAAATTTTTCTTCTGAAACAAAGGACCAAAAAGTTATTAATGTAGAATGTTTGTTCTCTGCCTTTTTATTGGAGCACAACCTGCCACTGAATGCATCGGATCATGCTGCAGCTTTATTTAGAAAAATGTTTCCCGATAGTGAAATCGCTAAGAAATACTCTAGTGCAATTGTTAAAGAAATGGGTTTGAAAAATAAATCGTCAGTTATTGATTGCATTAAAACAGCTCCGTTCTGCCTCTCTATGGATGGAAGCAATAATACTGATTCAAAACTCTATCCAATTGTTTCTTTTTTTAATCCAGAGTCTTCAGAAATTGAGTGCAATTTACTTTCTGTTCCCACTTTAGAAGGACATTCGACAGGCTTTAATATAGTACAGCTAATTATTAAAACTTTAAAAGAAAATGCAGTCTCTCTGGATAATTGCTTAGCACTTGGTGCCGATAATGCACCAGTAATGGTAGGCTTGAAGACTGGTGTTGCAGGCATCTTAAGAAAGGAAAATCATATTTACAGATTATGAGGTGCACCTGTCACCTCTTAAATTAAGCAACTGAAAAAGGGGCAGCTTTTTTACCAATAAATGTGGATGAACACATTGTTGATATTTATTATTATCTTGAAAGGAGTTCTAAAAGGAAGGAAAAATTGAAACAGTTCCAACAGCTGCATAATACTGAAATGAGAAAAATTTTGAAACGTGTGTACATACTGGCTGTCTTTAAAGAAATGCTTATCTAGAATCCTGGATCAATGGAACCCACTTTTCGCATTTTTTAAAGAAGTAAATGCTTCGAGAGTTAAGGTAAAAGGCTCTATTGAAAGTTATAAAATACTGAAAGTAAATGGAGATGCACTTATTATTTCCATTGTTAAAAATAGGTTTCAGAAAAATAAAGTAATTTCTGCACCATTCAGCAATTCAACTGGCAGTTCTCAAAATAAAACTGCAAAATATAAGCGTAAAGCTCATACAAATTTCTCTCAAAATTAAAAGAAAATTGCTCAACACACAAAACATTTTCCGATTACTGCAAGTTTATCTTGTGAAGAATGAATATTTATGTTTTTTTCTTCAGACCTTAATTTTGCCATCGTTCAATGTTCTTAACACAGTTCTACAAAGCAGAATTCCATTAATTCATGTTTTGCAATCAATGATTTATGATCTGTTTAAAGACATTTTATCAAAGTTTGTAAAATCAGTGTGTGTTTTGTCTTTTAATTCTATATATGATGTGATTTATGGTGAAATTGAAAATCATAAGAAAGATGAAGATTTAATAACAAGAGCTGCAACTACAAAAGTAATGGAAGAACTTTCAGAAGACAAAAATAAGTTTTATCTTCATTTTAGAAGTTACTTGTGTCGAGTATGTGATTACATACTACATAAATTTCCAGTCAACGATGAAGTGAATTTGTATGCTAAAGTTGCTGATGTTTCTGCTCTAGCAAATGCATATTTTTCTGATATAAGGTACTTTTTGAACAGATTTCCTGTGTTACTTCATTTAGTCATGAAAGATGATGATGATGTTGCCACTGATTATATTGCATTCACAATTTTGCAGTTTACAATTAGAAAACTTGGATGAAGTTATAATCATCTAGGATTGACACCCAGTGAAGTTTAATTGAAAAACTGAAAGGTGCTGATGGAATTTTAAAATATAGTGAACTGTCTAGAATTATGTTGGCCATCTTGACAGTTCCCTATTGTAATGCAGAATGTGAGAGGATTTTCAGTGTTGTTATGAAAACGAGGACTAAATTTAGATCTAATATTAGTGATGATACATTAAAAAAACTTTTGTTTGCGAAAGCAGGCCTATGTGGCAATTGCTATGAACAAAATTATGGAATTTCTATCTTAACGAAAGCAAAATCTGCCACTGTTCATGACATTTGTACAAAAACAGATTAAAGTTTTTTTATTTATTTATTTTTTAATTTTCTGAAATGATTTAAGTAATAAAAATGTTTTTTATGTGTAAGGTATTTTTGTGTTGCATGCATTTAAGAATTAGTAACTATTTAAAGTTAATTCATTATTAAAAACTATATTTTTATCATTTAAAAAGTCTTTTAAACATTGTGAAAAATCTCCTGATTTTTGAGTGTCATAGGTTGGCTAGTATGCAAATGGAATCAGTGAGGTTATCAATGAGGGATTGGGGTATTCTTTCCCACTTCTGTAGAAGAGTGATTTCCAATTGCTGAACTGTTTCTGAGAGTGATGAGTGACCAGCAGCCGTTCTCTCTAGATTGTCGCAAACATTTCAGTTGAGTTCCTATCCAGGAAACATAGTGACCAGATCCTATATTGCTGAGCTCATAAAGGATCTCATTCCTATATTGCTGAGCTGTCAGTGGTTCATTTCTGATGATGTGTGGTTTAGTCTGGCTATTAATACAAATATCAGTTAATCACTTTGTCTCCTCAAATTAGACACTTTCATCCACAACTGCAGTTCTTGTGCCTGCCTTCTAAGGGCAGAATGGTGGCCAGCTGTAAAAGGAGTACAAACTGTTAGTCTACAATCAAACGAACCCTGTGAAGTTTGTTTTAAATGGCTTGAGTTGATACACTAGGCAAGTAGACCTTGCTGTCCACTAGTGACGCTAACTGCTGTACTGATGGACCTGGGTTCAAATCCCAGAGAAGGCATAAATGTTTGTAATTGTATGATGTCTTTGCAGCAAGGGGGGACACCGAAAATGTTGACAGTTGATGAAATGGTCAAGAGAACCTTTCAGATGGTATTCCTCCAGGATGTTCTCACTCAAAATTGGGATGAAAGCTTAACAGTAAACAAGCCCTTTCAAGACCATATATAGAACTGCAGAAATGAATAGGTACAAGCCTTGCTTCAATGTTTACTTGTCACCAGCCCCCCCCCCAATGTATCATTACCATACTGCTGTTTTGGCCATTCTTGTTAGATAGTCTTCATTTTGTACAGTTGTATGCTTATGACCTTCTGGACTCTGCTTAATGTTTCCAGTTCTTAAAAACCAGTTTTATAATTGGGAAATGATACTTTGGGACACTTCAAAGGCTACGCTGCAGTGAGTTGCATTTGACCAATTTCTGAATGACACATGCTCTCCAGGTTATGCATTCAGCCAAGTCATGTTGCCGAGACATTGTATTTGCTACTACAAAGCATTCAACTTATGTCAGTTGTTTCTAGCCTCCTCCTACAAAAGAAAACTGCAGATCCCTTTTCAGTCCTTATTGAGAACTTGTGATTTCTGCATATTCTGGAGTTTGTAAATATAATTTCCTTTTGTTAAGCCTCCTTTCTTTCTTTTTTGTTAAAAAAAACTTGTCAGTTATATGGTTGCTTCATACTGAACTCGTAGTGTCCTCCAATTGTATTGAGCACTGTATGTTTTACTAGATAACATCAATAAACATGTATGATTTAGTAATTACTTGCAGAAGATTTGAGTTAGTTCTTTTAATAATGCTTTGAAATAGATTCGAAACATCTTTAAACATACAAACTCACATAGTCTTGTTATTTGGTACTGCAATTTAAATGCTTTAGCCCAGTGCAATAAATCCATTTCAAGTATTACTTCATTGTTTGTGGTACTGCATATACTGTTGAAAATTATTGAGTTTATTTAGTCTTT